AAGTTGCGATGAAAAAATGGTAAAAAAAAACAATTGGGTATTATTGTCGGGAGTCTCCTACAGATAAACAGAGTTTTCTGGTAGAAACATATTGATTTTTATCTATTTTCTATACCATTTCTATGAAAAGTTGTTTTTCCCCCATACAAAATAAATGGAAAACTTTGGGCGCTTTGAGCGGTCTCTAAATATTTTTTGATTCTAAAATAAAAGAATAGGGGTATACCTACTTTTTTCGGTATAGAACAATCCTAGGGGGTGAGAGCATAAAAATTCCCAATTTAATTTTTCACCTGTATTTTTAGACCACCCTAATATACATATGTATGTAAATAAGATTTTCTTCTTCAAAGTACGTTGTAGCGACGTATTAGAATCAAGTTGAGCAACTAATTAGTCAAAATTCCTCACAACATTGTCTGCTTACGTTTGCTTGAGTAAACAATTGTTGTGGTTTATGATATTTTAGTTTGATTTTAACCGTTTCACACCTTTGCCCCAAGCAGTTTAATGAATATCCTGGAGTTAGACATGCGAATAAATAATTTACAGCTATGTATGTGCATAATGATGTACCTAAATATGTATGCAGTATATAAAAAAATCAATTAGGCGCGAAATCCGCCTGCTGATTATCTACACATTTTTCAACTCAAGTTCCAAGGAAATTCGGCAGAAATTAGTGACAATTCATATTCTAAAAATATCGATTGATTTCGTTTTAACTTTAAACGCTTTGACAAAATGAGATAGCACATTTTTTGTATGTGCTGCATGGCTATGTATGTATGTAGGTATGTAAATTCATTCAAATTCACATAACAATAAAACTATGTACAGTGGAACCTTGATAAAAAGAAGTTTCAGGTGTTTATCAAATGCTTCGTTATGTATATAGTTTCGCTACATTTACATATGGAATATCAAAACCTCGATGCCATGAAAAATGCAAAATTTTAATATTAGGTTTGTTCAATAACATTTCCAGTTAGTACCAGTAGCGAGAGCGTATCTAAACATAAAATTGTGAGGAATAAAGAATTATCAGAAATACTTAGTAATTGAACGTAAAACCAGTAAAACTTGCAAGTTTTGGCGTGACATTTCAATTTTTGCCGGGAAATATTTTCCATCGTCATAAAAAGCAAAAACTCTTCTTTTGATATCAATTATTCATCAAAATTTTCATTAATTAAATTAAAACAGAAGAATAAGTGTCCGTGCCACAGGGTTTGAACTCATGTTGTTGGCAGTCGAACACGCATCCTTTTGGCTACAGAAACTGTAGAGGAAATAAGGAAAAAAACTTATGTAAATTAATTCTCAATATTTTTGCGTCAAGACGACACAAGTTTTAAACGTTCTTTTTTTATTTGACGCCTGCAATTTTCTGCTAGTCAAATTTTTACTTGCAACCATTTGCAGCTCTCTCGTGTGGTTACGCTCTTTTGCAAAATTTCAGTGAAAGCCAGTAAATTTTTTTTTGATATTGAATAAAGCAACGGGACTTTGACCGTCAATATATTCCGAAGGTTTTCATGCTGATAATTCTTACGCTATATGTATAGGGCATCTTTGTAGGGACAATTTCGCAACAACGAATTTTGTTATACCGAGTTTTACGTTTTATCAGGGTTCAGTACATCGAGGTTTCATTGTAGTTGTAGATGAAGAGAACACTCAATAAATGAGCCGTAAAAAAATCAATAAAGATGTTATGACAAAATCAATGGGGAATCCGTTAAACACAAAAAAAACGTATTAGTTGGCCAAAAATTTAATAACAGTGATCAAAAATGGAGAAACAAAGAAAGAGGAGCGCGAAAAAGAGAGAAGGGAAAAGTCATACCATTCATATACATACATACATCCTACATATTCACCAACAGACATATGTGCATACACCGGTAGCATTCCTATGTAAAACAAATTTTTTTTATTGATTAACCTGAGCAAGTTTTTGTGCAGCGAAAGCATGATTTGTCGAAACTCGTCATTTCCAACTCAACTTGTCATGCTTTCAATGCAAAAAAAAAAACATTGGGAATCATGCATAGAAAGTGAGCTTCAGGACCGACTCGATTTTCAGTACAAAGTCTTGAGCTTAAGCTCACGGTTGCCCTGTAACTTGTAACCCTTGTAACCTGGCTCTGGCATCCAAATCAACTTAATTTGGAAGTACTTATTTCGAGGCGACTGAGAGAGAAGTGAGCCATTACTGTACCAGCTCCGATCTCACCATAAGCGATTCTAAAGTCCCGATTGCCGCTGGCTATCAGAGTAAGTATTTACCTCTGCTTGAAACACGCTGCAGATATTCGGATGCCTAAAATCGATCCAACCGCGCATATGTTTATCGGACCTCAGTTCCAAAGACTTCCTTTCTCCTACTCACTAATCGGAGGGATATGCGTAGAGGTGGAACCATCCGGAGTTAGTATCGGAACGCACTGATCAGTTTACTGAGGTATGAAGTCGAAGCTTCAAACCCATACCCCAGGTTAAATAGAAACCCAGTGCTCCTTAACCTAATGGTGTGGCGAATAGAGCCAGCAGATTACGTCTGGAATTATCCCATAATAATAGCATAAGTGCAAATTCTCTCATTTCAATCAAAACCAAAACACTGTGCGTTGGGGACAAAGTTCACATCCATATGTAATAAGTATTGACGATAAGTCGCAGATAATTTTTATTTGCGAACAGTGACGTCGATCGTATCTTTTTATTTCAGCGGCCAGTGAGTGAATGAGTGTATTCATGGAATTTCGTTGAATGGTCAATACATAAGTATATAAGCATTTGTTTTTCTCCCCTTGTTGATGTTGATAAACTGGTCTCGCGCGTTGTTCCAATTAATTAAGAATTTGTCACACAAGCTCTGTATTAAGACTTTCAACGGTCTCAGTGTTATTCCTCTCGACGCTCGACGGCTCCAGTCTGCCGCCGCGACCAGTTTTACTCTCGAATTGTCGTCCTAATTAATATTGGTGTTTTCCTAATTTATAGCCTAGAAAAATTAAAACAGTCACTGGAATTTTGTCACTGGATGCCTGAAAAGGCATTCACATCCTGAGCCATAAATAAGTAGTCAATTGACGTCAGTTGTTTGTTTTCTTATATCGTAAATGAAAAATAAGTGCGAAGTTCTGCATGACGTGTGGCACGGGTTCCTGTGTTGACCATAGTTTGATTATTCTAAAAATTTATCTTTAGCTCAGAGGAGTTTCGATTGTTATCAGATGGCGGATTCTGTTTTTTTTTTGCGGATTGTTGACAACGCTTTTGAATACTTTATATAGATTCTATGCTCTGAATAGTGATTAGCATTTTTTTTGTTTTGGAAATATTTTGTGTTTTTTTTGCCATTGGCGCCAGCTAGGTGGTGAAATTTTTGTATTGTATTGTGCGAATGAATATGAGGCGATAGCTCGCATTGAAAGACTGGGAATTTGCGTGTTATCAATGATTGTTTTTGTTTTAATTCCGTTAGTTGCTATCTATTGTCGCGTAGCTCTTTTAAGGTGACCAGATGCTTAAAATCTGAAACTGGAAGACAATTTTTAAAAGATTCTAATAATATTGGTGGCCGCTATGGTGTAGTGACTAGCGGTGTGCGCTACCATTCCGCAGGTTCGATCCCAATTCCGACCGACATCAAAAAATAAAACAACAAGTTTTTCTCAAAGCGGTTGCCCTAGGCAGGCAATGGCAAACCTCCGAGTAGTATATTCTGCCTTGAAACACAGCTTCTCATAAAAATACAATCGCCATTGGGAGTTGGCGTAAAACTTTATAAGTTTAACGGCGTTGAGACTGTAGGCCAGAATGAAGCAACTTCCAGGGGCTACATCAGCATACCTAGGTCCTAATCAAACTATCACCGAATGCTAATGGTTTTCGTATTCCTATATTTCCGAGTCCATGAGCATTATACTTCTTCTAAAGACTCCCAAACCCTCCGCATGTCTTCCGATAGCAATATGGCCTGTTAGCACACTCACGGCCGTAGATAAGTCCCATGTGCCCAGCATGGCGAGACTCTTTGAACGTTTCCCTTCCATTCTGGCAAGTTTCGGCTTACTGAAAGTCGCGTACACCTAGGTATTACTTGCCTGTTTAAGAAATAATCCATTAGAATACGCATATTTAACAGCTTCCAAGAAGTCGATAGTCGAACCGATGTGCCTTTTCTTGCAAGTTCGTTCACCCTCTAGGCCTGTAGACCTACCCTTATAGAACCATAACCCATAGCAAGTGAATAGCAAACTGCTTAGGCATTTCATTTAGGGACCTGTTCCCGTCTGCTCTGGTAGTTTTTGGCTTAAAAAATTAACTTTAGGCACTGATCCTCCTGAAGAAAATTCGCAAAATTTCTTTTCACAACACAGCAACAATAGATGGATTGATGATATTGCCGAAAAACAGACAGGAGAAAATAGAAAACAAAACGATTGTAGTGGCAATCGCGCTGTCGAACTTGTTTGTTATCAACGCCGCGCTTCGGGCGCAAGTCAGTGCTCACGTTTGCGCTTGCGTTTAACGCTACCGAACAGAGCGGCAGCGCGGTGAGCACTTACTGGTCGCGCGAGTTTATATTTCAAAAGTTAGTAGGCAGCAGCGAACAACAAACAAAAATAAGAGATAATAAAAAAATGGCGCAACAAAAAGCAACCGGCAAATTTTAGCGGATTTCAGTGAGTTTTCGAAATAAAATTTCACGTCTTAGTTAGAATGAGCTTAGATTTAAGCGAGAGTTTGAGGCGAGAAGACCTTGTGAAAGAAACACAACGGACAACCAAAGTGAAAGCCGTTAAACGGAATATTTGAACTGTGTTAACTGATTTGCAATACAAATATTTTCAGTAAGAAAAAGAACCTTAACATTTTTTTCAAAAAAAGAAGTGCATGTAAAAGTGAAGTAGCAGACAAAAAAAAACGCACAAATTGCAAAAAAAAATATTTCGACAAACAAAATATTTATCTAAATTTAAAAGACAATGAGTTTACCAAGAACATTATTAGCTGTACTACTCAGCTATGTGTCACTGTGCGCCCTCAGCGGGCCGCCGATGGTGCAAGGCTTCTCCATTGGCCAATCGAAATATGGACGCATCGAAAAGTTTCCCTACCAAGTGATGTTAATCGGCAAGCAATTGTGGCGCAAACGCATCCTCTGCGGTGGCACTTTGCTCGATCAGCGCTGGATACTTACCGCTGGCCACTGCACCATGGGCGTCACACATTTCGACATCTACCTGGGCGCACTCACCGTTGAAGATACACCCGAAACGGGCCGTCTAGTGCTGCGTTCCAACAAATTCATCGCACACGAAGGCTTCAATCCCGAAACAGCCGCCAATGACATCGCACTCATCAAGCTGCCGGTCGATGTAGCCTTTACACAGCGCATACAACCCGCCACGCTGCCATATCTCAGCCGCAAAGACGCACTCACCGGCGCCAAAGTGGTAGCCACCGGCTGGGGTGCCAACAGCGAGCTATCCAATTACAATCCTATGCAATACACCGAACTGCGCGTGATCTCAAATCAGGAGTGTGCCAACGAATTCGACGTCATTACGAATGGCGTACTCTGTGCAAAAGGTCTGCGCGATGAAACCGTTTGCTCTGGTGACTCCGGCGGTCCGCTGGTGCTGAAGAATACTCAAATAGTTGTGGGCATCACAAGCTTCGGACCAGCTGATGGTTGTGAAACAAATATACCCGGTGGCTTTACGCGTGTCACCTACTATCTGGATTGGATCGAGGCGAAAACGGGGAAAATTGGGGTGCGGGTGCAAGCACAAAACCAATGGCAATGGCCAGCGCAGCAGGCACCAATGGTGCAACGCTTACAACAGGTGGCTGCGGTGCAGATACCACAACAAGCGCCACAAGTTCGCAGTGCGTTGCGTGTTAACGATAATATTGTGTAACTTTGGGCGAACGTGTGGCGCAAGCGTTGGGTGGGGAATTAGAAACACAAAAAAAAAAAAAACACATTTTGAAGGGGTGTTGAAAAACTTCTGAGTTTGGACTGACTGAAAACAAAGCTTTAATTAGTGATTTTGATTAGTATTTATTGCTTAAAATTGTGAAAATATTTTCTAAGTAAAAATTCAAAAAATGTTTTGATTTTTAAGCTAAGCTTAAGCTGCACTTCCCATATTGGACCTGTGATTCAATGGGCGGGGCGTGAAAGTGCTGTGACGCAAATCGCGCACGTTGGCTGTCATTAGCGGCGGCGCTGAGCATGCGCGAAATTCCGCGCATGAGTGGCGGCGAACGGGACTTGTTTGACGAGCTGTATAGATATGGTTTGAGTATTCGACTTTTGAGCTCGACTCAAATAAAATTTTAATTAGGTGTTTTTCGATATACGAAATGAAATTTTGTGATATTTGTGAGTAGTGGATCTAAGTGAATTGTGTGCAGCAATGTATTGTTTTACTATTTATAAAAATCGCTGTACCTACATAAAAACCTACTAGTATACATAGTATAGTATTAAGAATCATATATAATGTATTATTTATTTAAATTAGTAGAACGAAAAGAATTACGTGTTTGTATAATTATTTGTTTTTAGATATATATATATATAACGTTTGTTTATTTTTGCAGTGTTTTTTTTTTGATCAACGTAAACTAAATGAAATTTAACGAGTTGACACAAAAACCAGTTCTATGTACAGTTATCAGCAAACAATTAATATTCATATTTCCACAATCAGAAAAAAATAAACAAACAATAAAATCAAGAGAATAAGAATAAATAATTTGAAAAATATTTAAAACATACAAATTTCGGGTTTTTCAATTCTACTATTTACATACACGAGCCATGGCGTGAAGTTCGCTGGGTGGGTTCAGTTTGTTGGGTATTTCGCTGTTGTGTAATGTACACTGAAAATCGTGAGCTTTTTTGAGTGTTTATTTATTACAATTGAATTGCAACGATCGCAATTTTAGGGTCATCGGGTTCACGCTGAAGTCATTGGAATCTCCGTGGCAGATGAGTGATGTGCAAGAAAGTGAAATACATATATTTGAGACAAAGAGAAGAAGTAGTCTAAAATAATAAGATGTCAGAAGCGAGAGATTAGGTTATACTAGGCTGTTTTGTATTTACATAAAACTTAAAAAATAAAGTAGATAATTCGTTCAGAAAACTTTGTATATTTTTGGTTCTATACAAATAACAAGCATTCGTATATAAAATGATTTAATTCAAATTTTTTTTTTCTCAAATTCATAAAATTTTTAGCTAACATACTCTTCTTTTTTTTTAAGTAAAGCTTTTTGTTTAAAGTACATTTTTTTATAAAACTTAAACAAATCAACATCGACGGTAATATCAGAGAACATTTATAAACGTTCTCTGCTAATATAACGGATGCGAGTATGTGAGAGAAAATAAAAATTAATGAAGGTCATCTCTCATTTCAAGGAAATCAAAATTGAGAGAGACAAGGTCGTTTGGAATCTTAAAAAGTGTAAGCGTATTTTCACTCAAGCTTTTATTGAGTTACTGAGTGAATTGAGCTGAGCTTTTGAGCGCTTTTAATATGGGAATAGCGTATGTAGGTCAAGGTTTTAGCTGATTTGCACCGGTTTTACATTTATTTTATAGGTAGCGGTGGGAGGAGTGATAACTACCTAAGTATGTATGTATGGAATGTAGTGGAGAGCAGGTTTACCCCTTTCGTAAATTTTTAACCAAACTTAGTTGTTTGGCTAGTGTGTATTTTTTCCATTCTAAAAGATTTTTGTCAAAATTATTTAAAGTAAAAGAAAAATGGAAAGCTGGAAGCTTTCGTTATGTTTAATATTTACTCTGTTATATTGGGTCATATAAAAGTCTTCTTCATTATTCAAGTACATGATGGCCATTATGATATGATATGGATTTTTGCCAATTTTCGGCTAACTCCATCGTGTAGAACTTCTGTGGTTTATCGTTGAAAAACTTGACCAAGCGATTTTCAGGCCAGCAATTTTTTACTATGAAAAGGGTTTGCAGAGAAATTTTCCCTCAATTTGTTCCATTGTTGCATTGGGTCAGTACAACTGGGTTGAACCTGGCATTGTTATAATGGAGCATAACATCTTTCACTTCCGGTCGGTCTTTCTTGATTGCTTTCTTGATCGAGTTGTCGTCAGTAGAGGACCGAATTTATCGTTTAGCTACTTTTTAGCGGTTCATAATTGACAATGCCCTTTCAATCGCACCAAACACTCAACATCACCTTGTTTGTCGTCAATAAAAACTTTGAAGTCGTTTGTGGACGTCCGACGTTCTTTGACCATGATCGCTTGCGTTGTTTATTCTCGTATTATGGCTATGGAACACCAAATTCGAAATGGCCTCCATTTGTCTCCCATCAGAGGGGAAGATGGCTCGGCCACTCATCGATTACAGTACGCATCCCATGCATTGGGCAATTTTACACAGTTCGGACAAGGGCGCGCTTCAAAAATTCAAAACTTGAATGCCGAGTAGGGCAAGCCATGATTTCCACAACGGATCCCACCTGCCGTGGAAATGAAGTTCGGAATATAATTTCGTTGCGATTTTGCCTTATAAGCTGGAGCTGGGTCTTTTTGAAACCATCACAGAATCGAGTTGGGACGCATGTCGTGATGACAGAGCATACAACCTATCGTTCTGTTCATTGACCAATTCTTCTAAAGTAAAAATTTTAATGTCAGCAAATATAGTTTGTCTTTAGCCGTTTTGCGCGTATTGGCGAAGCAAGGCTTCGTGTTTGGCCGAGCTTCTCCTCCGATTTGTGGCGTGCGCCTTGATGCTGTCACACACATGACTGTGATTGTATTTTTTTGAGAAGCTGTTTTTCATGGCAGAAATACACTCGGAGATTTGCCGCTTGCAGTGGTTACAATTTGGTTGGGCTGTGTAGCTGCTCTTTTCACGCAAAAATTTATTCCACTGGAATGAGTTAAATATTTTAAATAATTTCAGTAATAATTATTTACCTACTCTACGAATATATTTACGTATTTCAAACGTGCGTCAAAGCCCACACTAAACTATGCGAAATATATTTATTTACAGTTTTAACTCAAAACTTCAGGAGAGCCCTGCGTTTGCGCACTTACGCCTTTTGTTAGCTTGTCGTTTGTTTGTTTTGCGCACTTAATTAAAATAAAAATATATTCAAATTTAAAATCTGCATAATTTTAATAAAAATAAAAAAAGCTTTGCCATTTGTGTTTGCTGTCAGTATTTACGTCATAACTTTTGTCTTCCAACAGCTAGACAAAGAATAAAATTCTCATAGACCCAAATAACTAATGGCGGGCAGAGCATAACGCTTACATATCTGATTCTTTGCTTTGTATAATATTAAACTGATATATATTTTTTTTTTTTGCAGAAAACTAAAGAGGGAACCGCGCTATTGGTATGCATAGTTAAAATTTGATTTGTTGCGGTAGCACAGATGCGTAGGAATCTTAACTTTATCTTCAATTTTCTTTAACGTCACTTGACAAATTTCATAAAGTGGAGGCCTAGAACCAACTTGGTTTGTAAGTACTTACAAGGCTTCTGCTATAAATAATACATATTTTTTTTCTTTTTGAGTAATTGCTGATTATAATTATGTACTTACATGCATACATATATATATGTACCTACTTACTAATAGAGCGAAGATGGCTTTAAGTGCCAATCCACTTCACGTTTTACGATGAGTTTGACTATTTGAATTTATGCAAATTCTGCTGGCTGTGTTTGGATTTCTTGTTAATGTTTATGTTTATATGGTCATAATTTGCCGGTTTGTATTCTAGTTTTAAATTAATTACTGAGCAACATTTTGTTTTTTTTTTGTTTTAGAAGAGAGGATTAATCATAAGCCATGTGGAAAAAGCCATGTGTTTTCGGATTGCTTTAGTTTTAATCGGCTTTCACGCCATCGAGTAAAACAAAATAGAATTAAAATTAAATAAAAATACAATAAAATAAATAAACACTTAGCTAAGGTAATGGAGTCTTCGTTTCTACCCCTTTCGCTTTTCGTGTTCGATTTTAAAATAAATTTAAAGGAAAACGGTGTGAAAATTTTGTGTTCGTTTCTTAAAATGTCGCACTCTTGTAAGGCATAAAAAGCACATTCTCCGCCCTGTGAAGCTTTATAAGGGGAGAAGGTTGCCCTGAAAATCAGATGGTTGCTTAAAACGGGAATATTATGAAATGCGAGAGCTAGACAAGGACAAGATGGCTAAAACATGCCCTCTTATAGGATTGAGGGTAAAATCAAACACATTGTGCACTGTGCAAAGGCAATATTTTTTGGAAGAAACGAAATCAACATAAGAAAAATTTAAAATATCTTAAGTGGGAATAATAAGTATTTGAAAATAAAATATCATTAGACCGTGCCACCTTATAAGCAAAACAAGAAAAAAATCTCAGCACACCCCTCAGTCTAAAGTAAGTATTTTTGCAAAGTATTTTGGCGACTGGTTTTTGGCAAGCTTTAATTATCATGACATTAGGGTGGCACGTTAGGATGATAAGAACCCAGATTTGGTGGGTAAATACTAGAACAAGGCACTCCAATGTCAATGAACTTTGAAACCAAAAAAATGGTCTCCTTGCGACAAAAACAGCGATATATCATACTTAAAGATCCGACTGTTAATGCCGAAGATATAACGAAAAATGTAAACAGGCGACCCCTACGTTTGGAAAAAAACCCCCTTTTCCGAAATTGGCTTGCAGAGATACTTTATCCCTGCAAAAATCGTTGGACCATGTAGTCCATTTGTGGTATATTGGAGTACTTACAAAAGTGTTCCTCTGTCATGCTGTAGCGGACCAACTCGTGTCTCTGCGCCAGCTTATTGTTTGTTACCCGATAACTGCTCGTGTTTTAACGAAATGTCATTGAAGTTGAGCATTTGAAAG